AAATTTTTGTGCACCAGGCCTCTAGTATATAATAAATCTACATTCATCTTACCTCCCATGTTTTCTAATCCATTTGTCATAGTTTCTTTAATCTGTAAATCAAAATAGCTATACTTAGTATTCTTTAGACTTCAATGTTTCTACTTAATAGTTTTCATGTTTGCAAAAGACAGCAACACTGTTAAGCACTTTCTGTCTAAAAATAGATATTCTTAATTTCATGTAGGTAACCCAAAAAGGTTTCCTATCAATTAACTTTTTAAAATAAAATCCTATTTTCCCATTGTCTAATCTTCCACTGGTAACAGCACAAGCTGTATACCCTCTTTTCCAAAAGTACATAAGCACACACACATAAACTTTGCCTATCATTTGCAGGTTTTAAGAACATGCTAGGTCAGGGTCTCTGGACCCAAGATTAATAACTCCTGATTTTAAAGCAAAAAGGAGAGATATATCAGAATGTCCTGGGAGGGCAGGAGAGACATATGGTAGTAGAGAGGTGGGGGTACTAGGCGGTGCTTATAAGATTTTTGAGAAAGCACAGCTTCTAACACATTGTAGAATTCCATATTAATATTTGTTAAATTAATGAGTATTAAAATTTAGGACGGAAAATCTATTTATCTTACAACATAATCTAAGAAAAGTATAAGGTTAATAAAATTTCAGGTAAAGGGAATAATAAGAAAGGGCTTCTCAACCAGGAGGTTATATCGCCTGGGAGGCAAAGTTAATTTATAATATCCAGTACACTTCCCTTTTGTAGGAATTTTTATTATGAAACTAGTACATTGCTATAATAAATTCAAAAGCATGTCAAATAGCAGGAAGAATGCTATTGATAAAGAATAGAAGCAAATTCTACCTTTAGCTTTCCTTCTTTAAACCATTGACTCAGCTGTAGAATACCAGACTCAAATTTGTCCTTATAATTGAACACCATAAATCTTTCTCTGTATTGGGAAAGAAAAGAATAATGATCAGAGACCAGTGGGGGAATAAAAGAGTCCAAAATGAAATCATTCCAGATCTCTATTATGTGTTAATATTTCAAACATTAGGACTTAATCACAGAGTCTGGCCAGATACAGTTTTAGGTGTAGAGACAGGGATAAGTGCAGTGGAGTTCTATTGTTTTGTCTACCCTGCATTTATGACCCCGTTTGGTAATAGCTCTATGATTTTACTTTGTGGGTAACATCCTTTCCCTACCCTTTGTGACCAAAGCCAAGCCAGTATGAGCCATAAAGTATCAGCGTTGGGACTTGATAAAACTGCGAGAAGAAAGCTGTTCTCTTTTTGCTTGGATTGCTAACCTGGTCAAATGTAAGACTAGAGATAACAGCCATCCTCTTGCTGCTGCAAGAGGAGAGCCTGGGAGGGAGCACAGCCCAGAGGTGGAGAAAAACAGTCGTGATGCCACTATACAAACCCTGTATCCAGCCAGAGCTCAGCCAGTACTGTACTAATATTGGACTTCTCAATGCATGAGCCAATAAATTTCCTCTGTACTTAAGCCAATGTGATTGAGTTTCTATTACTTGCAAAAAAAACACTTGCAAAAGATTTATAGAACAGATGCAATTTTTTAAAAGTTTTCTGCCAAAGAGCTAATTAACTAAAACCTAAGTACTGAATCAACTTAAAATATCTATTTTCAAGTTTTATTTAATAAGAAAAAATTATACATGGAGAACAATGCATTTCACATACACCTGTGATCTTTAAACCCCTTGAATCCGGTAAAAACAGGAAAAGATAGAACACACCTTGCAATGTTTCTTTCTTTCTGAATTGCCTCTACATCAGGAGGTAGTGGAGGAGAAGAAGGCACATCTTTGTTGTACTGAGAAATTTGACCACACTGGATGATGTGACTGTTTTTATTCATCTGTTCAGATAAAATAGGTGATTATACCCTAAGATATATGCCTATCCCATATATGACTTTATGGCTGCCTCAAAGAAAGCCTCCTTGACCACTGAATTTAATCCTTTAGTGCCAATTAATATATTTCATTTTAAAGATTTACCCAGTATATGTATTTAAGAGTTTTAATAGGCTAGAAAATAAGTCCACTTCCAAGGAATTAGAGGTAAATGAGAATTTGGTAATCAGCAAAAGAATTACATTAATTGTTGCTGTCGTTGTTGTTGCTACTTTTAATAGTAGTAGTAGCAGAGTATTTCTTTGTATTTAAATAATTTAACCTCAATTGCAAATAATTTTACCTATAGTAAAGGACAATGCAGTGTTAATAGCTGATGTTCACATTTTATAACATTGTCAATAAAAATAGGTAAATACCTAATGAAAATCCATTCCCTACCCAAAGTCAGGGGCCATGGCTGAGTTGGTTCATGGTGAGTTAGGAGTCAGAACTTCACCATTTGAACAATACAACTGTACTTTTCACAAAAATTAACTGCAGGTGAAAAATATAATAATGCTAGCAAAGAACTGAAACTGACGTTCATAGTGCAAATCTGTAAGTGGAAGTAGGTATATCAGCAAGCTCTTCTGTTTCACTTAATTACAGTTGATCACTTGATCATCATTAGTTTCTTTTTCTCAATAAACCCAACAATCTTACACAGTTTTTTCTATCTCTTAGTATCAGGTAAAAATATATCACATCAGATAAAATATAGCATTCAAATTTGTAAGAAACAAATCAACAAACTACCTGGCTTATCACTGTATTACTTATGTCACCGCCAACATTGTCAAAGTAAACATCCACACCAGCTGGGCATAGTTTCCGGAGCTGTTCTGCTACATTCTCTTTTTTATAATTAATTGCAGCATCAAAGCCCAGTTCTGAGGTCAAAAGGAGGCACTTCTCATGTGTTCCACAAATTCCCACCACTCGGGAACAGCCCATCAAGTGACCAATCTAGGGGGGAAATTTTTGAAAATTAAACAACTTTCTATGTCATATTTACATTTTAAAATGTGAAAGCATACAAGATATTATAAGTATATGAGAGTGTTCACCACAATTTAGGTTAGATTACAGGGCTTTCAGCTAAAAGTAATTTGAAATCAAAAGAACAGAAAACAGATATAATGCCATTCTTAAAAGCATTAAGATTGAATAAAATTAGACTTAGTTTGAATGCTAAAATTCCAGAATTTAAAGCTAATTTCATGAAAAGAATAGTCAGATCCCAAACATCACTAACTTGCAATTTAATATTTTTCAGTGGGATGGATCTTGTGCATATAGTATTATGTTAAGTGAAATAAGTCAGATAGAAAAGTGAAGAATGTGATTTCACTCATGTGGGATATATCCCACTCATGTGGGATATAAAGCAAAAAGCAACAAATGAACAAACAGAAAATTCATAGACACAACAGAATGGTGGTTACTAGAAGGAAAAGAAGGTAAGGGGAGGACAAGGAGGGTAAAGG